GGTTGGGTGCTTGGTGGCTGGGCATGCTCGTCTGCTCCTCGGTAACACTGATCGCAGCCCTGCCAGTCATCGCGTTCCCAAAGCGCTTGCAGAATCCCTCTGTTGTCGATGTTAATAACAACAAAATAAATACTAACAACGATGTTGCAATGTTGGCGGAAACCCTGGGTCCCACACCGGAGACCACGAATCATTTGCAAGTGAGTCAATTCTTTTGTTGATTTTGTGTCGATGGAATTTATTCGTTTTCAAATATGATTCTTCTAGTGGTTTTCTCCTTACAACGAATATGCTAAATACTTGATAGGGTCAACTTAAATCCGATTATATTCACGGAATAAGTAATTAACATTTAGCATTTGATCAGTCCGGCGTGGGATGGAAATTAGACTCAAATGCCGGGACATCAATCACCTGAGTCACTCGTATGGATTAGTGAACGACATCTTTTCAGTCTGCGTCCAGGCTTGCCCAAATTCAAAGTACAATAACGTTTATAAAAGAAAACGTTCCATGATTTGCTTGTGGGCGCAATTCTGCCAAGTTGTACAGACCTAGGCTGGTGAATATTCTTGAGAAATACACAATCGCAGTCTGTGACTAGCCAAAGCCTGAACCGCAAGGCAGCGGGGCGTTGTGTGAAAACCGCCATCCGTTGAGGGTCGTTTTCCAGTTCATCGGATCGTACACAATTTGAGCGGGATCAAATGTCGGACGTGCCCATTACATCTCCGTCTCCAATCGCACCGATGACCACTGTCACAGCTATGAATCTTTGTGCATTTGCATCCTCGAAGTAGCGGTTACGTACTGTCAGGGGAAATTAGGTTTCGGTGAAAATTTCCGCAGAATCGATGGAAAATGGATTCATACTAATCTTTGCCCCAGTGAGTGGCTTTAAAGAATGAATGAGAGAAAAAATCGCTTTACAAGTGAAGTCACTTCACTGCGTTACCTAGTGAATGAAACATCAGTGACTAACTTCCAGCCTCTCTAACGTCCCACAAGTGAACCATTATCTGCACACTTGGCCGCCTGGTCCTCTCTGAATTGGGACTACAAGGGGCCACACAGAGGAATCCTCCAAGTCAACGAGACATACACGGTATAGATAGAAGAGCCCAGTTCGCAAGAAGTCCAGCAAGCCATACACAGAGGCCCTCCCTCGTTGGATTTACGCACCACTGCCTTATGGGTCTGACTTTTGAGTCGAANCCCTCTTCGTCGATGTGGGTTACCGGGAAGTATTCCGTGCCCCAAAGTCTTAGGTACCCATTTGGAAAACCCTATTTCTCATCCGTCTCTTCTCACTCCCAAACCAAATCAATTCGGTTTGCGCCACTCATGGGTTATCACTCAGCGTTCAACTAATGACGTCAACCACCCAGACGCTTTCAGATTTTTAAAATCGAAATCTCCTTTTCATTTAGCCGCACTCAATGTCCACACACTTTACTAGATCGCTCAACAAGCTATCTAAGCTGGAACCCTTGAAACCTCCCATTTGGATTTATGCTGTGTCTCCGAAACATGCATACAAGACCACTTCAATCAAACCTGCGTTCTCCTGATCGAAACTAATTCTCACGCTTCACTCTCCGTGTGTCAGGCGATTTGGCATCCGAAGCTCGCGGTCCTGCTGGAATTGAGATCGCACTGAGTATCAAGGCCGAGCGTTCACTTCTCCAGACGTACAGCAGTACGTCTGGACGGTTCAGTACGGATCAACGGCTACAGAACAAAGCGTGGATTCTTATACTCCGATGAGGTAACCTCTAACCAAAACCGACTATGTAGTCGGCTCACACGCCATTATAACACTTCCGATTTTGTTATGTTCCCGCTCTGCACAGATCTCCTGAAACATTTCTATCCGGTGCTTGATATAATTGTAGCGGATAACGCTTCAACCGGTGGATCTGGCGCAAAACATTCCCAGCTGAATCGCATAAAAGCACTTCATATTCTGTCGGATCTTTAACTGCGATCGATCAAAATTACGGTCAGATTGAAAAGAGGACCCTGTGAATCACTTTCACCACGAAGAAGTTTCATTGGATGACTTACATCCCTAACACACTTACTAATCATAAGCCTTTAATCTGATTCTTTGGCTTAAGAGGAGTATTCCAGTCTTAACCACTAACCGCCTTCAACGTTGTTCGTTACTAGACTTGGAGATCCGTTATCCATCACATCTTTCAGGGCAGCAAATATGCTTTGAAGGCTTATGAATTCTGGAAGACCAGAGAAAGCGTTATTGCTTTGATATTGGCGGAATTGGATGTTAAACTCCTCATTTCTGATGCTGTTCGCGGTACACGCAAGAACCCAGTGTTCAGCAGGGTCTCCCAATGGAGCCGAATAAGCTGACCATAACCATTTGTCTCTGACGAATCGCGTCGGTATTTCGAACGGCGAGATTCATTGTCAATTTCGAGTGATTGTATTTTTTTGCTGAAATAGTCGTGATTTCATAGACGCTACGAAAAGAGTACTGCTGCGATTCCATACAGGACGCCCAGGAATCAATCGAATAGAAGTACTTCTTTTAGTTGAGAGTCCACGCGTGCGCGTAGACTTTGCAAGTCCAGTTAACGGTCGATCTTACCCTGTCACTGTCAATGCATTCAGCTGATTGCCCGAGGTTTTTGTCACGGAGAGCACAATTTCAATCTCAAAGATCGCAGAGCTCCTCCAGAATCTCCGTCTGTATTATGTCCACGCAACGTCTGTTAGCGACAATGGCACTAGTTCATGCTGCATATCTGGACGGAATCCTATAAGTAGCACGGCATCAGCCATATCCGCTTCCCATCTACATTTAAGCGGCCAAGCAAAGAGATTTGCTCATAACTTCGAGTGGGCATTCCAGAAATCAAAAGGGAATGGACCAACTACAGGAATCATTGGAAGGTTCCTGTTTCCGGATTTACCAAACGGAGTCTCCGCAACGGAGGCCTTAGTGTAGACGGAATTCAACTGGTGACACGGACCCTTGCAACTCTATTTCGCCCCAAATCAAAGGGTGTTAGTGCGACACTTCGGAAATGACTGTTCCGTATGAGTGATATGCCAAACCAAGGAGCTGCACTTCATGAGGGCCAGATTCGTTCGAACATGTAAATACTTCATGCAACTCAGCGAAGGTCAACAGGATGCTCGGATGTGAGAAATCAAAGCCCACAACTACCTTTGGAAATATATTTCGGTCTGTCAAGATCACCTCGGACATTTACATCCATATCGACTTCAGAAAGTTAGAAACAGTCACCTATCCGAAGGCGTTGACCGGATTAAACAATAAAACTGCAAGTCAGCCTAAAGATGGCAACGTACAGCTCCAAGGGGTAAGCGAAAACCTAATCATCCATACGGAATCAACACTGAGTATATTTAGATCATTAAGTACCGCTTTAAGTTACCCGTATTTTTTCGTTGCTACTGAATTGGTGAAAACAGTAGTTACGGATAAAACGCCGCAATTTAAATGGTTCATCCGTTTTATTGGTGATCTTTTGTATTCCCTTCTGGATAAATACAGAATGCACGTAACCCTCTAAATAATGCACGCTTTCCCACTATCGAAACAGTTTTCAGAAGCTTCCAATAAAGGCTCGCGCCGTACAAATTCTGTCAGAATCTTTGGAAAACATCTGGCCGGTTCTCATACTATTCTGACCGATAACATGTATCATTGGAGAAAATTTCCCCACCTTCATTATTATCCATTTGTCTTCCAGATTGGACTCGCATTTAATTCCCAATTGCTAGAATTGAGACATGAGCTAACTGATGGTCTCTCCATCTAGAACTCAGCATTCATTCACATCCTCTTGAATTCACAATATTAGTGTACTCTTTAAGTATCTGGACGAATCTACTGCATGTACCACCGTTGACCAACAGATCATTTGCAGCTCTAAATTATAGCAAACAATATCAACTCCGAAATCAACGATGTCATCCATGATCTTTTCGTAATTAAGATTCCCTAGATTTCCGTTAGCTTGCTTTTGATGTTGCTCATTTAAAACGGCCGTAATCTCGATGTTTACTCCTACCAAAGCATTGTCTCATGTAGCCTAAAAACCGTTCTGCAATCGACTCCGTTTACTGTGTTTTCTTCTTTTTACTCCCTTTTGATTGAGAAATACACCGTGGTACAGTCAATTTTCAGAGAGATGGCCTTGGCCAATCGAAGGTTGCTTGAGGAAAGAAGCGAGGAAGAACACTGACAGCAGCGGGATTCAAACTCATAATCTCCGGGTCGTTGGAACAGTAGTCTTGACTCCTTTGTGTGGAACCTTTTTGAGTCATCGGACCGTATGTCCATGTCACAAACTGGCGGCCATGCATCTAATTCTATTTCACGCAACTACGGTTTCATTCAATTTGGCAATTCAATATGGGAGCCCAAAAGCTAGGATGGATGTTCATTTTTGTCAGCAGTACAAATTGCTACTGAACTGAACCGATTATTTAGTAATAAGCTCAAGTTGGATATTCGTGTGCTGGAGGTTTCATAAAGGAGAACTTGTTCAGCCACTCCGCAAAATGTTAAAAGCTAGAAAGGATGACCCTGTTTGGTGCTGCTCCTTCGTCAAGCGACCGTCGATCTTTCTGAAACGTCGCTGACTGATGTGGTTTGCTCACTTCCCTCGATAATCATTTACTGAACTAGGTTTTGTTGGTTAGTTCCAGTGTCGATCAATTCACTCATTCGGAAACGTATTTTGCGACTAAGTTTCCTTTATCAGCACCATTTTTATATACCTGGAAACGAACCATCTAGGTGGCTGATATTTGGAAACCTAGAGGCAAACATTATCCACCAGGCTGTGATTTAAGAGATGCCGGCAGAACGAATCGGCCCCTGGCACAACGGATGTCTGAACACATTCCCAAATGGTTGGTACAATCTATGGCGCAACAAAGTCTTAGAGGTCAAACCGATAAGGGAAATCCAGGGTCATCAATCGCAAAACATCTCATGGCAACTGGATACATCNATAAATGTCGTTCAAGCCACTATTACGTAACTTGAACCTCAGGATTTTGGCGTTTAACGAGGCGATGCTAATGAAGTTACGTAACCCAGTCCGGTGTGCACAAAAGTTCCTTACACAATCAGTCAAACTGCCATGGACCTGATTTCCCACCCCACCCTTTCCCTCGCTTCCCTGACTATTGTCCGTTTTATCACTGTAGTTATCAAAACTTGCTTGTATAAATACCAGATTGTTTTACGTTGTAGCGACTGAAGAGATTGAAAGAAAGGTTAACATCTCGCAGTATTTGTCTTCTATCGGTTCTAACGAATTGGATACAGGGGACCCAATGTTTCAAGATGCCCTTTTTCTGAAAATTAATAAAATTGTTGCAGTTGCTACTATTACCCTGGTCGACTGATGATCTCATTACATATGCTCAAAGTTATGACTTCACTTAGTGAGACGACATACTGTGGTCACGGTCCTTGTATGGGAGTCAGCTCATCTGTGTTTGTACATCCCTCACCTCTGTCTACCATAATGTGACTGGACGTGTTTCAGTTGCATTTAGTTATCCATGTTAGTGAATCCTGAATCAATGTGATTGTAATGACTTGAGAATGAAAACACCTTACATTCTGATCATTGTTATTGTTGTTTCGTTCTGAGGTTGGGTAAGGGCGAGGGTTCACCTTTGAACCCACCTCATAGAAGATAGTCGTTTGCCAAACAACGCACCCGTAACAATCGCTGTCGCAAGGAAATGGTTCGCTTACTTATCTTCATAACCCATAGTTGATCTTGTTAGACACGTATTCGGCGAACGAATCCACTGGTAATTTCGTAATCGAAACCTCCTATCCCTTATTTACCACACTACATACAAACATCACTCAAAATCATTATTCTAGAAATTATATTCTTAGGAGAATACCAATCGAGAACGCGTGCAATCGGACAGTAGATAAACCCATTATACCTCCACATCGCTAAGAAAGACGTTTCAGGTTGACTAGTTTCTTTTTGCCACAATTACTATTATCCACCAATCAGAGTCCACTGTTCAGTGCGCGTGAAACGAGCCTAACGTAGTCTGCAGAACTGTACGGGCGGTTGTGTTTGCCTAATTTAAATAGTGGTTTTCAATAGATATTTGCTCGTTTTAACCAGCTCTGAGGAACAAGACTGATCGGTACCACTGATGGATACAATACACCTAAACCGTAACGATCTCAAAACGTAATTTTGAATAAATATTCATTTTGCACCACCCGTTAACTGACATCTTTTCAATCTAGGGAATACGTCCGCTGTTATTTCTACATTTTGTTTTAACCTGTTTTCGTTCATTCAGCAGATGGACAGTCCTCGGTCCACAAAACCTGTACATGTTGGTTCAGCCACTCAGTCATACGGTAACCTTAACGATTGGGTCCATTCAAAGGAGTGCTACAGTCGACCGCCGTTTACACATCGCCGAACACAGTCTAACCAAATTGGATGCTACAAACCAACCTCGGACGCAATTAATCTATTGGATCCTTTCCCACTGGCTCAGTCCGCTGTTAGTGAAACAGATGAGTCGCAGACACAAACCCGAGCTATTTCGGAATCTCTTCTTCCCGCAAGTTATTCTGCTCATGCTACGGTGCGACGGCTCTCCAACTCACTTACCCGTGTGCTGTCGTCAACCAGAACCCTACAGAGAAAATCTGGAAATTCAGAAATGATCGGATTCGAGAGCGTCCCGTTAGACGAGTGGCGCGCGCGGATACGTGAACGATTAAAAGGTTTTTCACAATTGCCTTAGCACCAAATGTTATCCTTGGTTATCTTTCAATTGCGGATGTTACACGGTCAATTTAGTGACGATAATTAAACATGATTTGTGTTTTTCTACTAAGTTGTTTTGCAAGACAGAATCTTGCGTTGATCAGCATTTTGAATCCAGGCTCGGATTGCGAAAAGCCGTCTGTTGACGACTGTCGATATCCAAACCCATTGCACAGATTTGGTGGGGTGATCGGTCAAGTAATGTCCTGGATATAGGAGGTTTCACATAGTAGCTGCTGCTTAGTCGCACGATTGCTCGACCCTTTAAGGTCACGTTGACTGGAAACCTGGTAGACTTCCTCGGCTTGTTCGTTTTGTCAGCTAATATTTGGGAGATAATCTATAGTAGTCAGACTGTTGGCGGGCATTGGACTCGATTGTGGGGGGGGGGGGGGNTGAGACTTATCAGTTGGAGTTTTCAGAACGAGCCTGATGGATATCGATACGTGTTATCATAGCTGAGTGTTGTAAGCAGTTTCATTCGCGCAATTTTTCCTGTTGCATAATGCCTTTTCTTTATACTACATTTTTAGCTTGCCGTTCGATCTCGTTCTTTTTTTATTGGTGAATGAGATGAGTGGCAAAAAGACTGCAACCACGACGGAGGCGCGGAATTACAGGGCTGTCGGTTGTACGAAATGAGGTTGAAAATAATTATGCAGCACTAATTCCCAGTATATGGTTGTAGAAACATACCTAATTTCATGAATTTGTTACCTGGGTTTATTCATCCCCTAGGTCGATAAAGTCGTGCTGTTGATGATACCCATGGTAATCCAAATAAATGTAAAAGGTTCTCAAGTTATTTCTATATTTAAGGGGTGTGCTCGAGCGGTCTTGAAACAAAAGCCGGGATTTCAAAAACACCGAGTTATCATGGTTTTGATTAGATATATGGACAGGTCACTTAATCACAGTCAAATCTTAGCTAAAGTTAATTCCGTGGACCCCAATTGGTAGGGTTATATTTATCTATTCTTCTTCTCCGCTTATGGGCCTCATTTTCTGTGATCTGAAATCCTAACAGTAGGATTTCATAGGACCATCTAGCCGCAAACATAGTGCTTCTGAAACAAAGCCCCACCAGCTTACCCAACTGCTTTTCAACAAGTCATCGACGGGCCATTTGCAGTTATACGCAAAAAACCTCGCTGGTGTTTTTGTTAGATAGTTTAATGGGATATACCTCAGAAACGATGAACCCCATTGCCATAAAAAACCGCTGTTCTATTATGATGGCTGGTAATCCTGCCACTTGCTTGGACGAATCACACTAAGTCTCGATACAATCAGATACATCTTCGATTTCGTCTGTCAATAACTGATGGGCACTCATATGCTTCATTCTTATTGTCCTCCCGAAAATGGTTTCCACCACAACTTCTTAAGTGACCTCACTTTTTCATGATCTCGTTAATCACCACGAGTAGCAGTACAACATTTTATTAGTAAGAAGAGCATTGTATGATTCCAACGATTTATCCTTTGTCTCTCATCCACTAACTTTCTTACTATGGGGTGCATTTATCAGATCCTATGCCTTTGCAGTAGTAGAGATGATCTCATCTTAGCAAGTGTGCGTCAAACATTTCCTAAGTGAACACAATATTACATGATTCATCTCTCGACTAACACCTATTTGCACACAATAGTAAGATACGATATTGGTGTGAATTAGATTTCGCAAACACCGACTGCGCATCTATATTTATCGAAAGTGAACTTTTCATCTTTGACTCGCAACGGAGCAACTGTTGATCTTCCGTTATGGTTCTGTGTTCTTGTTTCATGTCTCGCAATCTGCGTTCCTGTCGATCGTTCTAAATTTCCCTTTAAAATCACTTGAACAGATAACTTAAAATTCAATTGTATCTAATCTTGCACTCCCTTGCATCCATTATCGAATGCTTCAGTTCTGTCCATCTGTCTCCCCTTGATGAAACGAGAGATCGTCATGGACAAAAATGGTAATGAGAGGAAAGAAAGCACAAAAATCGGTCTGTAACGAATATAAGTCAAAAAAATCATTCTTAGTTTGACGAGAGTGTGTGACCTGTTCGCCTAGAAATGCCTATTGAATAATTCCCTCACTCATACAGTACAGGTGGTTCTGCATTCATGCTCATAGAACGTTCGGCATTCCGTGGCACTTCACGGATGTAAGGGGTTACCTCTGCACGTTGAGTGTATGCGAGAACACACATGGTTTCGATTGCTATTTGCAAATCGATATCTGTTTATTACCAAACATCAAAATGTTCTGATGAAGTCCAAAAACAGATGTGAATGTTTATTTAAAGTATTTACGATCTCTGGTTCACAGTAACTCAGGCACATGAATTCTACATCGTTTAAAATAATAACGTGTGATCAATACTGTGGAATAAGCTAGTATTGAATTTAGTCGACCTTTCTTCAGTCTCAATGTGAGCGGATTCTTTCAGTAGTAGAATGCACCTGCCTCATGGAATCTGGAGTTCAATATTCGAATAGCTCCGTGAATATGCACTGTTGATGAGCCCTAATTGAAGTGAGGCTTTAGTCTATCGTTCTGAGGTAATTGAACATCTTTGACGAGCCTCATCTGTTTACTGATTGCTCCGATCGGTGGTTTATCTGGGAGGCGATGAAAGAGCTCTGTTCCGAGGGCCAGTTCACCACTGTTGCTTACATGCGACTATGAGCATCGGTTTCTGGCGGTTGTTCACTCATTGTTCGTAACATAAAGTAACCCATTTATGTTGACGGTCGAGGGCGGCAATTATGAGTAGATCCCTGTCGGCGGTGACCGAAGAACTCGTGCGGGATCCACAAAAGTTCTTAGAATTTTTTCGCTGCCGCATCGGTCATTGGTGTGCTGTTCGCGATCAACTCTTAGCCTTGAAATCCAATAAGACAGGCTGTAACTTGTACGGGTCAACAATTTGTTAGCTAGGGATTGCTCAGTCGGGGCTGTTCAATAAAATAAGAAGATTTTTCTAACATTTCTAGATGAAGCCTCAAGCACCCCTCTCGGATGTCCATTTAGTGTGGGATTTGGCCGTGTTTATTCGTTGGAGTAACCGCTCTAGGGAAGAACTTGAGTTGGTAAGAAAAACAAACCAGCTGGTGCCTAACCGTTTGGGCTTGTGAATCTGAGGTTTGTCTGGTCTGCTCCCGTTGCTCTCTAAGGTATCTTTGATCTACGACTGTGAAGCCCTCTTGTTCAGTTGGCTTTATCATGGAGGCACAATCATACCTCATTTTTTGTTATCCGAGCCCGCATCATTTCATGAAGCCTACTGTTTTGGAATAAAAAATATTATCTCCTGACAACTTTACATCGTGCTCTGGGTTAAGTATGAGTTGTACCTTCATGTTTGTAATTGCTCGCGATTTTATATTAAATAACGCACCAAGTTGGACAGAAATGGTCACTAAATTACGCGCTTTTTAATAACAATAAGTAACTGTCGAAAGAAATCTCATCTCTACATTTAGCAGAAAAATATTGTAGCGCCTGGTTTCTTGCTTAGAGTTATCGATCGTCTAAGTTTCTCTAGTTGGTACTTCAATCATTCCTGCATGTTGTATGACCTTAGGTGTAGTTCGTTTCGTTTATTGGTGTGCATATCAGTTGAGGCAAGAGATTTTTCGCCACTTGAATTTTTCATATGTTGCTGCGGTAAAAAATCACTGGGTGATGTCCCAGTAAACAACCGAAATGCAGCTGATGTTAGACGAATAATTTTGTTGATAATTTATAAATTTTTGGTGATCCTGTAGTCAATATATGATCGAACGTACCAGCGTGATGGTGGCCTTGCAATGCTCCTACCGGTTGGTGAACAACTTATTTAGTTTGTGGTGCTTTTTACACACTACTTTTTCCTGGCGTGTTCATGGTTATTCATTCTCCGCTAACACTGTCTGTAAACGAATATGCATTCTTATAATGCCCATGGATCTTCAAGCAAACACACCGAACATTCTAAACTATTTTCGCATTCATCCTATTTTTTCATGTCCTTTATTTGTTTTTTTTATTAGTATCTGTGCAAATGAATTCGTGACTATTCTATCACAGGTTTCCTTCTCGTACTTCGGCGCGTGTTCTCCAATCCCATTTGGTTCGGTGTGACATTTACTTCTATGTTGGAACAGTCGATCGTGGCCGCTTTCTTGGCGTTTGCTGCTAAATACATACAAGATTTGTTCCAGGTGCCAGCTTACATGGCCAGCATTCATACAGGTGTGTGGTGTATGAAATTACGCCTTTCACTCCATTCCCAAACAGTACACCTACACTGCATTGAAAATCGGCATTTGTCTTCTTGGTCATCAGTTACATTTCTCTGGTGATGACAAATGGATCAATTTACTGTTTATCTTGCCCATGCTCATTTCAGATCAAAATACAAAAAAATGTAAAGCCTGAGAAACTCTGCTGTGAATTTAGCTACCTGTTCCCCGTTCCACACTGTACGCACAAGGTACTGGGAAAACTTTACTTTCATCCGGTTATGCAGGTGCTATATGTCATGGAGATGACCTACTTCCTGAAAACGTTTGTTCCTGATCAATCAGCCAGATCACAGATAATCCGACTCAGATGTTCGGTCTGAATCCACATTCAATCAAGGCAGCTAACAACTAACCAGTCAACCAATCATCTTGCAAATCCAGTTCTTTGCTTTCCCCTTTTCCCATAGATAAGCGGGCTTCTGGAGCAACTAGGATATTCCTGTATGCTTCCAACGGTATTCTAGTTCACTACTGGCGGAATCGCTATTTGGATCAAACATGTCATCGCAGGACGATTGTCCGGGTATCCTTATGGATGCCATACATGCTGTTATAACATCACCGTTCAACAGACATTAGTTTTCTGAATTATCATCTCTACACTAAGCCTTCATCAGAGGATAACCGTCATTTCACTCAATAAATACCCGCCGTTTTCCACTGAGTAGACTGACCATTGGTAGTCAGTATAGGGTAGTTGGTTATAACCCTGATTTCAAACCATATACACTTGGTGTACAAAGCTCTTAGTGGTTCCCATTTTCGACGCCGCGTCAAAATAAACACCGAAAATCACCTTTGTACAGGGCTGCCATGACGTTCAGAGGAAACTGCAGGGACCAAAAGCAAATCGGAAACCCCGAAAGGC